TAGGTATCATACTATATCTCTACTCTCTTTCATGGCTAAAGTCTTTGAAAAAGCTGCCTGCAATCAGTACTCACACTTTCTCTTCTGTTTCTCTTCTAAAACCTCTGCATTCTGACCTCAACATTTGACTGAAATTGCCCTTTCTGGTTACCAATGATACTAGTTTTCAAATTTAATGGTCTTTTCTCAATCATTATCTATCCTTTTTTACCTGTCTGCAGCTTCTGACTCTGCCAATTACTCTTTCCTCCTAGCAGCTTTGTCTTCTCTTGGTATTCATTATACCAGTGGAGGGGAAACTGTGGCCTTGAGGCTACATGTGGCCCTCTAGGTCCTCAAGTTTGGCCCTTTGACTGATTCTTCTTCTGGTTCTCCACTCCTGCATTATACTGTTCTCTTCTGGTTCTCCTACCTGTATAACTTCTCACTCTCCTTTGTTGGTTCTCTGTCTAGGTGATGCTCAAGCTCACTAATTGTGTGTGTCCCCCAAGGTTCTGTCCTGGGCTCTTTTCTCTTCTGCCTCTATACCAGTGGTTCTCAACCTTTTTGGTCTTGGGACCCCTTTATACTCTTAAAAATTATTGTGGATCTCAAAAAGCTTTTATTTACACGAGGTTTTAAAATAAATATTTATTGTATTAGAAATTAAAACTAATCATTAAAAATTATAACAAACTTATCATAACATGTTAATATAAATAACATTTAAATGAAAAATAACTATTTTGCAAATCCAAAAAAAACTCAGTGAGAAGAGTGGCAACGTTTTTCATAATTTTGTAAATCTCTTTAATATCTGGCTAAATAGAACACTGCTAGAGTCTCATGTATGTTTGTGCATTTTATCTGTTGTGACATGTTCTTTTGGTTGACATATATGAAGAAAATGTGGTTTCACACAGATATGCAGTTGGAAAGGGAAAGAAAATTTTAATAGGTAAATAACTTTTTTAGTATTATAATGAAAATAGTTTTGATCCCATAGGACATTCCTAAGGATTCAAAGAGAATTACTCTATACTATCTCCATTGTTGATTTTAACAGCTCCCATGGATTCAATTATCATCCCTATACAGATGGTACATAGATTTTTAAAAATCTAGCTCTAACTTCTCTCCTGACCTTGTCTCACACCATCAAATGTCTGTTTGAACTGGATGTCCTATAGACATCTCAAATTCAACATGTTCAAAACAGAACTCATTATCTTTTTCCCGAAACCTTCCCCTATTCTGAACTTCCCTATTATTTTGGAGGGCACCACTATCCTCCCAGTTGCCCAAGCTCAAAACCTGGGAGTCATCCTCAACTCCTCATTTCATTTATCCCATATATTCAATCCACCTACAAATCTTGTTTCTACATTCACAACATCTCTCCTATATATCCCCCTTTTCTACTCTGACACAGCAGCTGCCCTGTTGCTGTGCATGCCCTTATCACCTAATGCTTGGACTATTACAAAAGCCTGCTGTTTCTCCCCACTGCAATCCACCCTTTACTCAGCTGCAAAAATGATCTTCCTGAAACTTAAAGTGACTATGTTATTTCCTTCTTCAATAAACTCCAATGGCTCCTTATTACTTCCAGGATCAAATATAAAGCCCTCTGTTGGGCTTTTAAATCCCTACATAACATGACCCCTTCCTATCTTTCCATCCTTTTTGTACTCTGCTCCTTTCCTGGTACTCTATGATTCAGAGACCCTGGCCGTCTTGCTGTTCTTTCAATACAACACTCGATCTCTCAACTTTGTGCCCTTTTCCTGGCTGTCCCTCCGTGCCTGGAATGTACCCCCTCTTCACCTGGACTCCTGGCTTTACTCAACACTCAGCTCAAATGTTGCCTTGTATGTACATACTCACTTTAGTTTTCCCAGTAGAATGTAAACTCCCAGAGGGGGGCAGGGACCAAATTTTTATTTTATTTTTTTTTTTTTAACATATCCTTACCCCTTAGTACAGAGTCTGGAACACAATAAGCTCTAAATAATGATTGCTGACTGACTTTCCCCCATGCCTGGAATATCCTCACCCTTACTTCTTAGAATCTCTAGTTTCTTTCAAAACTCAGTTCAAATGCTACTCTCTACATGTAGCCTCTCTCCCTTTCTCTCCATGCTAGTGCCTCTCTCCCCATTATGTTTATTCTGTATCTGTATTTCCATGAATTAAAAAAGCACTTATTAAACATGTGCGAAGCTCATCATACTTCTCTCAAATATTGTCATCATTTCTTATGGTGTTCCATATCTACATCTCCTGATAATTTAATATATTACTTTTGTGGTATTAAATAGGGATACCAAAAACAAATAAACCTGCAACAGTCTCTTTCCTCAGAGAATTTACATTTTAAAGGAGATAATACATATCTGGGACTTCTGGCTGGGGCTGGGAGGGAGGGCAGACTTTAAAGAATCACCTGGAAGGTGAATTAATCTTTGGGGCAGTCTGTGACCCTCCCTTCTCAGGAACAATGTTAGTATTGGTTTGATTATTGAGAAAGGGCAAGAAATTGAAGGCAGGGGTGAGGTGGGATGGACAGAGGGGAGGTTATGAATTAGGTAAAGCAGATGGTGGTGATGGGGATGGGATCTGAACCCCCAAAAGGAAAAGACCATGTCTTTTGGATCTGGACCCCAAAAAGGAGCCCTGGACTCTCCCACTAGGTCAAGTCTCTGGGGTTTGCCTGAGGCCATAATCCTCTCAACTGCCCTTGCATTGTGGCCTACGCCCAATCTCCCAATTCTCTGTTACCTTCGGATTGCCCTAGGCTACTTCCCACTATTGATCCTATCTAGGGCCCATTGTATCTCCCGGAACCCCAGCCTACTGGCCACTGCCATCTAGATCCTCCCTTCTCTCAGTCACTCCAGACTACTTGGTCACTCCTAGATCCCTCCCACAGTCTTTCTGTATATAAGATCCATCTTGCCTCCATTAAAGTGCTCAGATTTAAGAGTCTGGTCAATATGGTTGATTGTTAGAATCACTACCCTCCCTCTACCTGTGTTTTAATAAACCTTGTCTTTGGCTGAAAAAAGCTTTAGGTCGAATTAATTCATGCAAGACCCTTGTGTCACTATTCCCGGTCAACAGTGGTAGAGTGAATATTGATTTGGAAAGTGAAATGTGGTCCAGTGTCTTCACATTGTAACTTTCCCCATTGCAGGCTGATATATCGCAAGTTGGCATAAGAAAGTAAATGGAAATTTTTTGGAAGTTTTGCACAAGCCAAAGACGACATGCAAAAGCCAAGAGAAGACACAGAAAAAATTTAGAAACTCAGAAATGCATAAAATATATGTATAACATTGTATAAAATAAACTCAAATTTACAATAAAGTGCTGTGCTTGGGTACTGTAAACACTCCATAAAAGAAAAAGAAAGAATTCAGACTTTTGGTACAAAGGAAGGGCCAAAGAAATTTTACACAGATTTTTAAGCTTGTCTGGGGCAGGGCCCCCCCCAACCCCTCAGATGGAAGGGTGTATACAGTCATTTGACAGTGTAAATTTTGTGGTCTGGCTCAACTTTGAAAGTCATTGTTCTTTGTTGTTTCCTGATAGAATCAAAGCTTTTTGTGGGCAAGCAGTTTCACTTAGTTGACCTTCCTTGAGTATAGCCTGGAGAAGTTTAATAAAGGCTTGCGGGTCGATTGACTGATAGAATGTAAGTTCTTTAAGAGCATGTACTTTCATTTTTACCTTTGTCTTCCTGTATCCTTAAGTAGGGCCTTAAGAAATGATTACTGATTGATTACCCCATTATAAACATCTAGTTCCTATCTTACTTGCACTTGGGTTATCAAATGAGATCAATCAATATACCTTTGTTATTATTATTAAACCTTTTGTATTCTTTTATATTAAATTTAATATTATTATTAAACCTTTTATATCAACCCATTAACCTCAGACACTAGCTGTGTGACCCTGGAGAAATCACTTAACGAAGTTTGCCTCAGTTCCTCATCTGTAAAATGAGCTGGACAAGGAAATGGCAAACCACTCTAGTATCTTTGCCAAGAAAACCCCAGGAGGAGTCCGACAAGACTGAAAAACGACTAAACAAGAAATGTGTCAGGCTCCGTGCTAAATACAAAAAGAGGCAAAACACAGCCCCTGCCCTCAAAAGGCTTGCGCTCTAACAGAGGAGACAAGTGAACAAATGTATACAAAGTAAACTATATACAGAAAAATAGGAAATAATTAACAGAGGGAAGCCACTGGAATTAAAAGGAGTTGAGGAAGACACTGGCACTTAAAAATAATATATAAAGCGTTTTGCAAAACTCAATTATCAACGCTAGCTGTGGCCAATATTATTATTATTATTATTATTATTTCAGTTTTGCTTTCTCTTTTTGGAAAACACGTAGCACGTATTGGGAGCATTAGCCGGAGGCTTGCTGGAGGGTCAATGCCCCGGGTCCAGCCTCAGATTTAATGTGGTTTTCTTGGCACATGGCAGAGCTGGGGGCAGGGGGGAGGTCCTAGAAACCAGCGCGGGCCCGCCTCCCCACCCCCATTTTAAAGTAGGGGAAGCCGAGGTCCGACAAGGGGGAAGGATTTGCCCAAGGTCACGCCACAGCCAGCGACGAGCCCTTCCCTGCCCAGCCCTCGGGCGCTGCGGACTCCGGCGCGCCCTCCACTCCCCTGCCGCAGACGCTACCGCAGCTCCCCGCCTTCGCCGGGCGCCTCCCAAGCGACCTTCCCCCTCGCCGCCATCTTAGAGCCTGGTACTGGCTGGCCCACTGTCTCGTATACATCAAATAAGTGCTGGGCCTTCCTCTGTCCCGCCCCTCCGAGATCGGCTAGTCCGCTCAAGGCCACTGCGCCACCTTCCTCGAAAGTGGAGTCCTCCGAGCAGGAGGAAACTTGCCCACGGTCAAGATGGCGGCAAAGGCATCAGTCCTCGCCTGGGGCCGTGGTTCAAGGCGTCATCAGGAGGCGCCAGCTTCTAAGGGACTAGGAGGCGGTCGGGCGCCGTCTCCATGGAAACCTCTGGGCGTAGGGCGCGGCCAAATACTAGAGGCTGGCGGTGGGGAAAGATCCGAGGCGACCAGAATCCCCGGCGTCCTGAATCTGACCCTGGCCCCCATCTAGGTTGGGGGCCCAGCCCTGATCCGAGCCCCTGCCCCGCCCCTAACCTCTATCTCCGTCCCCACCCGGATCGAGAGCCCAATCTTGACCCAGGCCCCTACCAGGGCCCCGGCCCCGATCTTGACTTCGGCACAGATCCTGACCCTTTCTCCAACTCCGGCCCCGACTCCGGTCCTGGCCCCGGCCCCGGCCCCGGCCCCGGCCCTGGCACCAGCTGCGGCCCCGGACCCGGCCCGGGCCCCGGCCAGGCTCCCGGCATGTTGCAGGACGAGACCCTGGACGGGGCCACGGTGCCCTCCCTCTGGAGAGGGTCCCTGGAGATCCGGAGTGAGCCGGTGAGTGAGGGGGAGGGGACTCCCCTCCCCGAAAGACAGTCGGTGGTGAAACCCATTTCCCTCCCCTCGATGCCGCCAATAACCCCCAACCCCTTCGCTCCCCCCTGCCCCATCCCAGGCTCTGAGACCTGAAGTTCCTCCTGCTGTATAACTTAGGAAGAGTAACTTCCCTTTTCTTGGATCTCAGCTACCTCATCTGTAAAATAGGTCAGGGAGTGGATAGTTTGGCATTGGACTCAATCAACAAGCATTTATTAAGCCCCTACTGTATACCAGGTGATGTGCGAGGCGAAAGGGTTGCAGATATAAAAAATGAAATAAACAGACCTTACTCCCAAGGAGCTTTCTATTGGCAGAAACGACATGTGCACATATAAGTGTATACAAAATAAATGTATGCGGTCTTCATCATCTATATTGGTGATTCTAAATTGAAGCCGAATGAAACTAACGCTCTTTAGTGTAACAAGTCTGGGTTTTGGGACTGGTAACAACAGTTAAACATTGTTATCCGGAGCGGTAGCACAAGCAATGTATCTATCTATGTGGATTTAGAAAGAGTCTGTACAGATTTATAAATGGTGGAGAGCTCTACCTGACCTATTGCGGTCGAGGCTGGGGTGGACTGAAAAAGGCATAGCCCTTGGGGCTGTTGGTGGCAGCAGAATGCCGGAGCTGGCTGGTTGTATTATGGTGTCTGTTCCTAATGGAGTGAGCTGGTTTTGGTTGGTCAGAAAGAGCCAGAAGAGAATTTCTTGTTTCTAAGGGGGAAAGCATGGGATTAGGTTTATACCTGGCTCATGTACAATAGTTTTTTTTTGGTGAGGCAATTGGGGTTAAGTGACTTGCCCAGGGTCACACAGCTAGTAAGTATCAAGTGTTTGGTCTGAGGCCAGATTTGAACTCAGGTTCATTGTAACTTTAAATAAGTCACTTAAACCTGTTTAGGCCTGTTTCCTCTGTAAAATGAAGGGTTTGGATTTTATGGTCTCTCATTCAGTTCCAAAGTTTTTGGATTGTGTTCTTCTCTTCCTTTCCAACAGATTTTATACTTTCTGGTTTCAGAGAACCACCAACTTCTTTTAATACTGGGGTACTTTACTTTCTGCTCAATTTTGAGTCATTCTTGCTGTTGTCTGGCCCTTCTGAAAGTTCCCAGAGCTTGAGCCTCTCACAAGGGGAGTTGAAATTATTTCAAAATATTCCCCAAAGCTAAATTACATAAAACTACAGTTCCCAGCTCACCTGTTCCCCCCTACTTGTGCTCCAACGGAGGCAGGCTCAAGGGCTAGCTTTTTAAATAATTTCCCCCTTCTTTGTTGCTCCCCAGGAGTTCTATGTTTTTTGTCTTGTTTGAGTAAGAATTTTGCTGACCTAATTAAACTCTTCCTCTTCTGAACTCTTCATTTATTACCTGTAGCACTCATTTGATACCTAATCATCTATCACTTTGCATTCAGTTATTTTAAAAGATATTTGTTCTGTATCCCCAATTAAATTATAAGTTTTGGCGTTACTACTGACTTTACCACTTAACACACTGACTTCAGAAAAGTCATAGATCTAGAACTGGATGGGGCCTTAGCAGTCTTCTAATCCAACCCTTTCATTTATGAGATGAGAAAACAGGTCCACAATGGATAAGGGATTTGCTTAAGGTAAACTCTAAACCAGGCCTAGGTTTGAATCCCAACTCTGCTACTTATTAGTAATAGTATTTGTAGTAATAGTAATTTTTATATTATTTATAAATTTATAGTAATAATTAGTAGTAATTACTACTAATTACTATTAAGTAGCAGAGTTGGGATTCAAACCTAGGCCTAGTGACACCAAATTTAGCATTCCATATTGGGTGTTCTTTCTCCTGTACCGCACTACCTCTATCTTGGGTCTCAGTTTTTTCCTTTTTAAAATGAGAGGGTTAGATTAACTCTACAAAAATCTCATTTAAGGGACAGCTAGGTGGTGCAGTGGATAGAGCACTGGCCCTGAAGTCATGAGTACCTGAGTTCAGATCCGGTCTCAGACTGGACATTTGACACTTATTAGCTGTGTGACCCTGGGCAAGTCACTTAACCCTAATTGCCTAAAAAAAAATCTCATCTATCTCTTAACATGTTAGAGTTCTGTGCTTCCCTAGGTCAGAAATTATCTTTTACGCTTCTTTGTATCTTGTGTAGTGTCGTGTAGATATTGATTGATTCTATATTCATTTTTACCTCCCCTCCCAGTATATACAGATGTTTATTGGGGAAGATAGATCTCAAATAAGATCTTAATTTCCTTGGGGCCTTTCTTAGGTGAAGTGGAAGCAGACAAAACACTTAATTTTTTAAAAACTGTCTTTTGTGGGGGCAGCTAGGTGGTGCAGTAGATAGAGCACCGGCCCTGAAGTCAGGAAGACCTGAGTTCAAATGCGGCCTCAGACCAAACACTTGGCATGTACTAGCTGTGTAACCTTGGGCAAGTCACTTAACCTCAATTGCCTCACCAAAAAACAAAACAAAATAGTCTTTTGTGTTCTTTTTTGTATCACTGTGATATTCTGATGACTACTCCCCCCTCCCAACCTTTCCCTTATAAGAAATAAATAGTTCAACAAAACACATCAACACAGTGGCCATGTCTGAAAATCTTTCCCTTATTCCCCACTTACAGTACACCACTTTTCTGCCAAAGGAGGGAGACATGACTGACCTTTAATCTTCTGAAATCAAAATTGATCACTGCATTAATCAGAGTTCTGGAGTCTTTCATTGTTGTTTTCTGTTACTCCTGTCCTAAGGGATGTCACAAGACTCAAATGAGATAATGTGTATATAAAATGTTTTGTAAACTTTAAAGTGATACATAGATATCAGTTTTGCATTATTGAACATGTATAACCAGTATCAAATTGTTTACTGTATCAGGGAGGGGAAGGTGAGGGAGGGTGAGAGAAAACTCAAACTCGGAACTCAAAAATTTTTTTAAATGAATGTTAAAAATTGTCTTTATATGTAATTGAGGAAAAGGAAAATATTATTTTAAAAATATAGCTACCCAAAAGTGAAATGAGCCTCCTGCCTTAGAGTTCTCTCTCACTGGACTTGTCTGGTATGTTGTTGGAGACATTTATTTAAAAAAAAAAAGGGTTATTAAAAACAACATTGGACATCAATGCAACCAACTAATCATGCTTAGTAACCCCCTCTACCAGTTCAGGTCAGCACCTTCTCTGCAGTTTGTAGTCTTAGTCTTAACGCCATTCCCTGTGTTATCTCCAGCAGATTGTATACACTATTTCCTCCTCTCTCTAATCTTCAGGCTTTCTCCATCTACTTGTTCCTTCCTTTCTACCCAAGCTTCCCCAATCCTTAAAAAACCCACACTAGATCCCATCCTCCATGCTACCTTTCATGCTATATCTCACTTCCCTTTCTCAACTGAATTCCTGGAAGAAGTTGTCTAACCTTAGTGTCTCCACTTCCTCTCTTCTCACTGTCTTCCACTGTCTTCTAAGCTCTCCGCACTCTCCCTTCAGATTTCATCATTCAACTAACACTGGTCTCTTTGAAGTAATCAATGATGTCTTTTTTTGGGGGGATTAGGCAATAGGGTTAAGTGACTTGGCCAGGGTCACACAGCTAGTAAGTGTCATGTGTCTGAGGCCGGATTTGAACTCAGATCCTCCTGACTTCAGGGCTAGTACTCTATGCACTGCGTCACCTAGCTGCCCCTCAGTGATGTCTTAATTGGCAGATCTAAGGGTCTGTTTTCCATCATTAGCCTTCTTAACCTCTCTGTTGTACTTAACACTGTTGATGACTTTCTACTCCAGAATGGTCTTTCCAGGGGGCAGCTAGGTGGCGCACTGGATAGAGCTCCAGCCTTGGAGTCAGGAGGACCTGAGTTCAAGTCTGGCCTCAGACACATGACACTTACTAGCTGTGTGACCCTGGCCAAGTCACTTAACCCCAATTGCCTCACCAAAAAAAAACAAAACAGAATGGTCTTTCCTCTCTGGGTTTTGATGACATGTCTTTCTTGGTCCTATTCCTACGTCTCTAACCACTCTTCAGTCTCCTTTGTTGTACCATATCCATATCTCCACTTATGTACCGTGAGGCTCTCTCCTGGGTCCCCTTCTCCCTCTATATTCTCTCTCAGGGTGATCTCATCAGCTCCCCTAGATTCATTTATTATTTCTATGCAGATGATGCCTAGATCTTTGTAGCCAGTCCCAGTCTTTCTTCTGAGCCACAGTCTTGCATCACAGCCTGCCTATTAGACATTGAACATTGGACATCCTGTAGTCACACCTTGAACTCAACTTGTTCAGAAGACAACTAATTACCTTTCCCTCCAAAACTATTACTTTTCCAAACTTTGCTATTACTTAAGAGGGCACCACAATCCTTGCAGTCTTCCAAGTTCAAAACATTAATGTCATTTCTGATTTCTCATTTCTCACCTCACACATCCAGTCATTTGACAAGTCTTGTCATTTCTATTTTCCACATCTCTCCCATGTTCCCCTTCTGTCATTCAGCCACCACCCTAGTTCAGTCTCTCATCATCTCTCCCTTAGGCTATTGTAATAACCTCCTATTTATTTATTCTCTGCTTCAAGTTTCTTTTCCTCAGCTCAAAGTGATTTTCCTAAAGTGCTATTCTGACTTTTATCATACTCTCCCTCCACTGCCCCCACTCAGTAAACTCCAGTTGGCTCCCTTATTACCTCCAGGATCATAAAGGCTTCTGGTATTTAAAACTCTTTATGAACTGGCCTATACATTTTATGGTTTAGTTATACTAGGCTATTTGCTCTTACTTAAATACAATATTCCAACTCTTTTTTTCCTTTTGTAAAAAATTTAATTTTATTTTTAGTTTTGATTTCTTGCCTTACCCTAACCCTCATTCATTGAGAAGGCAAGAAAAACAAAACCCATTACAAATATGTATGGACATGAAAAACAAATTCCTACATTAGCCATGTGCAAAAAAAAATTAAG